TGTGCATGTGTGCGTGCGTGTGCGTGTGTGTGTGTGTGTGTGTGTGCGTGCGTGTGTGTGTGTGTGTGTGTGTGTGCGCCTGTGTGTGCGCCTGTGTGTGCCTGAGCATTAAGTTTGACCATTTTGTTTGCAAAGGGAGCCTGGGTGTTGTGTTTTATTCAGTACGAGCACAGTGTCGGGTTGCCAGGTTGTGACAGCCAGGATTGGGTACTGATTGAAGGTATGAACTCAACCCGGGCCACGGCATTGTCAAAACCCTCGCCTCTTTAATCTTCTTTATCTACATTTTTTTGCATTGAAAAACATATTCATAACTCTACAATGCTTGCAGCTGCCAGTACTTAATATATTAATCCTGTGATTTGGACGTAATAATGCCTTTATGTATTATTTACATTTTGTCTTTTTGTCTCACTTCCTTTGTGTTTTTGTTCATGCACTGTCCTCCGTATATAATCATTTGTGAACTGTTTTTCTTTTTTTGAGCACCTCAAAGGGCCTTATCCTCTAAATGTGCTAAAGTGACCACTGTTCACATTTCAGACGATCAACAATAGCCCCGATACTTCAGCTTTGATAGCTTGGGTTTGTCTGTGTTCCATTTCCCTGCCTAAAGGATCATCTTAGGAGAGACGAGCAGTCATAAATCAAGGGATGGCCATGTGTGTTATCTCCTCAGATATGAGTCTGGAGTGGGCTCCGTGGATTAGAGACGTGACAGGCTTGGTTAATGGAAGACGGGGGGCCTGGACCCTCTGTCTTGGTAGTCTGTGTGATTGAGTATGGAGTAATATGATTAATGATTCAGAGGCTCAGTTTAAATAGTCAGTGCTGTGGGGTTCTGCTGCTGTGGTGTATTTTAAATCACCCCTGGTGAACAAAGAGGACAGAGGATGGAGAAGCTTTCAAAGAAATTTCAGATTACTGATATTGACATTCGCCTGGGCTGTTGTTGTGTTTTTAAGTTCATCATTTTATGACATATTCTGTCCTTTTCTTTCTACATGTTCAACAGATTTTCTCACCTATTCTCCCGACTCCCTCTCCTCTGCCCCTCTTGGTAATGGAAACTCGGTTTCCATAGTTACTGAGCACCATTATAAACGTTGGCCACGACATCTGGGTCACACAGATAGCTTCAGACTCTCTTTCTATGACTTCTTTACTGTTTGTGAGTTTCATGAATACCAAAACAATCATTATCCTTAATTCTCTGTCTAAAGCCTCCTTAAATTGAAGGTTTTTCGTCGTTTAATTCATGTCAGCACGTTTTTTTTTTTGCACATTTCTTGGAGGCTTTTCTTGTCACAAGCATGATGCATATTCAGGCCCATGGTGTGTGCATCTGTAAGAGCTAAAAGATACTTATACTTACTTACTTATGCATTCTCTTGAATGGCTTTAATCCAACATGCCAGTCTTTACTGAATGACTTTGGATCTGTGCAGATCTAGGCCACCTTAGCTCTCTGACACGTTTGGAAAGAGACGAGTGAGATTTTCATTAGGTTGCAATACAACCTCACTGCTAAATGCCACTAAATCCTACACATTTCAGTTCACTGGCAATATTCTACATTTGTCTTTATGTCAACAAATCCCATGAAAAGAAAAAACAAAACAATTCATTATTCCCACAAACACCTTTTTTTAAAGTTTACATCCTTAGTAGGAATAAATGCAAGAGTGCCACAGAAAGGTTTGGAAGTTGGAAAGTGTTTAGACAACCTCACAGATTATTGGTTTTGGTCTTTTCATGGGATTTGTTGAAAATCAAAAAGGAACATAATATTGCCAGCGTTATCCTTCAAGCAATAAGGCAAAAATGGTTGAAACAAAATACAAACAAAATACAAAATAATGTAGAAACTTTAAGTCTCACACCGTCTTTGTACTGTTCAGCATCTTGTGGAAAAAACATAACCTCATTCAGACAGGAATTTAGACAATGTTAGCTTTGTGTTACTGCGTGTTCTGTTCTCAGCTGAATGCATAGAAACCGCCCGCTGGGAGCGTTTCACTAATGCGTCACATTATCTGTGTTTAACAGTGTCAATAAGGGATGGAGGGGAGGGAGCAAAGGGGAAGTTAATAAGCCTTTGCACGTTCTTCCCTTTATGACTTTCTTGCTGTCTGGATAACATAATAGGACCAATATTCCCCACAGGCACCTGCTAATGGCTTGTCTCGACACAGCCTCCGTATGGGATTAAGCTTGAGATCTGTCAAGTTCTCTGAGATGGTTGTAGCATGTTAAGTGGGCTATTTTGACACTATGACTGTCATGAATCTGTTCACTGTAAAGAAAATACCAACACATTTTGTCTGATATAGCAAGTGACGATTTCCAAATGCATTTTTTACTTGATTATTTGTTTCAGAAAACGTACTAACTCAGACAATCTATCAAGACATCTAATTGCACAGTACTGAAAATGATCAGAACTATTAAAAAATCCATTAGAAATGTACTAAATTAACTTTTTTTCAGTGTTATCTGGAGATTGATATCAAATAATTGCTTGTTGTATTATGACCTTGGTTAAAAAAAAAAGTGAGCTCTTTAAGAATTTCTGCAGAGTAACAAAGCTTGAAGATCCTTATGTCTTAGACATGCATGGGTACACACAGTGCAACTCGCGTAGTGAATAATGCAGTTGATAAAGAACTAGGTGAGTGACAAACACCGGCGGTTCAGTAGATAAAAGGCAGAGGAGAATAATGAATGCGAGACAAAACTACGCGTTTCTATTGAACACCTGAGTTTCAGTTTTAACTGCCGGGCTGCTCTCTCGCCTTGCTTTGTGTGGCAAGATCCTTGAGGGAAATAATGTGAAGACAGACAGACATACTGAAAAACACACCCACAGGGAAAAAAACCATTAATTCATGAAGCTAAGAGGATAGTCTGCACCATCATCCTGTGCTAATTGCCAGCTTTCTGTCTCTTTCTCTACAGGTGTTCTAGCAGTCCTAGCACTGCCAGTAGGACTGGTGTCATCAGCACAGGAGCTGTACCTCAACCAGACATCCCAGGACCCCGACTCCATGGCAGCCGCCCACAGCAGCCCCCTTTCTGGCCCCGAACCTTCCCCTCTGGACTTCCATCAGGAAGGCTCCAGTAGCGGGGAATGGTCATCCAAAGGAGGCACTCAACCCTCAAACATCATCCTCCCTACTGTCGCCCTCCACCCTTTGGCTCTGCCTCGCCCAGCCCAGACTTCCAGCCCGACTCATGACGACCCTCCCATCCACGACGCAAGCACTGTGAGCACTGACAGTCATGTGAATCGTCCCCTGGAGCCGAGCTTTGATGTTGTAAGCCAAGGCCACATGCACAAATTGGTCAGGGTAACTCAAGTCCACAACCCAGTTACTGTCAGCACTAACCAGGCCAGCAGCAGCGTCCGTAAATCTCCCAGCACAGCGGTCCCATATATAGATGTGGGATCTACTGCCAGAGAAGCTCCGGCTCTAATGTCCAGCTCTGAATCAGACAGAGGAGATACGCTTGCTTCTCAGCACGTCGAGCCTCAGAAGTTTAGTGTGGAGGAACCCACCGACCCCAGCCGGCAGCGTGTTCCAGATCTCGAGCGCGCCTCCCTTTCGTCTCCATCGATGATGAATGCTGACCCTGCAGCAGGCCTGAAACTCAGGGAGCATGCTCGGGGCGCCTCAGAGCTGTCCGCACACCACGCCATCACCCTGAGGGAGGTGCATTCGGCGAACGAGCCCCCCACTGATAAATTGGTGATAGAGTCGATAGACTCTGTGACTACAGTCGAGAGCCCACCTGAGAAGCTAGCTTCCACCGCGTCCACTCCAGCGCTGTCCACTGAGCCCGAACTCAAGACACCGAATCCAACAATCATCCCAAACAACCACTCTGCACCCAACGAGACCACCACTGAGGAGGATCGTGGTCTCGTTGTTCAAGGTAACGCCACGGACAATGCCCCTCTCGGACACTGGTTGGGGAACGTGACCGCATATGGAGGGCTGCTCCCTAACAGCAGCTCAGTCGAGGAGGCGCCCGCTCAGGGGAACAGCTCGGAGCCCCCCTCCACCGCCAGCGGGAACTTCCTGAACAGGCAGGTGCCTGCCACCACCGAGGACCCTTGGACGCCCGGCAACAGCTCAGGCTCCACCGTTGACTCCCCGCTGTCCCGCATGACCATCTGCCTGAGCAGGATGGACATTGTGTGGATCGTGCTGGCCATCAGTGTGCCCGTGTCCTCGTGCTGTAAGTAATGTTAGAGCAGCGGTGAAATTTAATGAAAGTAAAAAAGTTCCAGATTACTTGGCTGAGTTTAACAACCTTGAAAACCTATAGTTTTGGTGTGAACTGACGCGAGATATCAGCCGTAGAGATGCTTGCCTTCTTTCCAATATAATGGGACTACATGGCACTCGGCTTGTCGTGCTCAAAGCGCCAAAAGAAATACATTTGAAAAAACTCAACAGCAATGTCTCTTTCCACAAATCATGATCCGGTTACTCAAGATGATCCACAGACTTTGTTGTGATTAGCTTCATGTAGGAACTATTTTCTTTCTATTTCCTTTACATGAAACAGCTCACAACAAGCTCTGTGGACACCCGAGGTCACCGAAGAGTTAATTAGTAGTAAAATATTGTGATTTATTCATTTCACAGCCTCTTGTTTTCTTCACCTTTCAGGGTTTAAAGGTGCTTCAGTAAGTGATCTCACTCATTGTTTTAGAATGCCTTTTGAAAGCCCCCAGATACCCTGAAAATGTCTTACTGAGAGACTGGCAGCATGTGTTGTTTTAGATAGCCTCAAAATTACTACATGGCACACCCACCAGTAGCCATTTCAAGCTATATTTTAGGGCGGTATTTTTCCTTTTCAAAAACCATTTCTTACAACAGTGAGACATGACTGCCTTTACCTATGCAGCGAGTGTGGGTGCTTTCGGAGGCTATTTGAAGCAGCAGCAGCTTTCAGTCTCTCATTTTCCCTTCCTGTCTTCTTCCCCGCTCTAGCTGTGCTCTTGACTGTGTGCTGCATGAGGAGGAAGAAGAAGTCATCAAGTCAGGAGAACAACCTCAGCTACTGGAACAACGCCATCACCATGGACTACTTCAGCCGGCACGCTGTGGAGCTGCCCAGAGAGATACACACTCTGGAGAGTGAGGTACAATACTACTGGCGCACTGATACTCTATTAGTGTACAGCGCTGCACAAAGAGGCGGAGGCACATTGATGTTTTGCTGTCAGTCAGAAGAATGGTTTTAATGAGTACGGAAACAACAAGAGGATCCATGTTCACTCCCCCCTGTCAACAAGCCCCGAGGCCTGCTGAAGCATGGCACTGTATCACTGCGATTTACAGAGATGCCATTTAGAACAAGCAGAAAAAGGAATTCCCTGCAAGGAATCTTTTAAGATTCCTTATTAGTAGTTTGTTTTTTACATCTAGTAAACAGATATCAAAGTATTACCCTCAGTATACTGTTGCTGAGGAAAAAATATGGCTATTCAATTTATTTTACAGGTACAGTTTTTAAACCTTATACCACTAAACAGCTTGTGACACGCTCATAAAATTAGCTTGATGTGATAAACTAAAGGTGGTATCCTGCAGTGGTAATTTTGGCAATTTATTTTCAAAAATCTGCAGCTCTGATGATGATTTTAGACGAGGATAATAGATTATTAGTCAGTTTGTCAAGAATATTCAGCTGAGGGCATTTTAGATACAGCCTTTAAATACAGGAGCGACATAGAAAATTACATATTACATTTAATGCATTCCAATTAAGACTATTTGTGTATTTCTGTGTTTGGCAGGCTGTAAATTGTTATTTTAAGAACATATTGAATCCTTCAACCTGTGGTTAAACCACAGAGAGTATGGCATCCTAAAGAACTGTCATGTTGGGTTGAAAACTCACATATAAATCATTTGAGATGCTGCTAATCAGCTGTTATTGTAGTTGAGGACGTGAATACGAGTCTCTCTTTGTTCATCCCCTGTTTATTTCTGCTATTTTCCAATTATATTTGGTCTCTGATATACTGAGAAAAATAACAAGATAAGATTTTAGTTTTTAATGCATTGCAGCGCCATCTGGTGGAAATGGTACTATAGATCATCTATCACTATATACAGTATGTATCATTTTTGTGATACATATATACATGAAGCTGGTATTAAATGTGCTATCTACCTCCTCTTCTTCCCCATATCATTTTGATCGACCATTGTTTTGCTCTGTTTGCATGTATTACTTATTCTCTCCCGTGACCATTTCACTGTGTGTCTCCTTTCTTTTACTTCTCATCCGTCGCTCAATTTGCATTCCTTTGCCGCCTGCGGGCGCATCAGGAGAGGGAGGCTGCGGTTGGATCATGTGTGGGATGCTCCTGGTGACACCCAGGTGTTGTTCCCCCCTCCTCCCTGCTTTACCTGTCTTTGTAGAGCAGCAGCCTCTTAGCTTCTCCTGGTGCTTTAGGTAAATGACGAGCGCTCCAGGAGACATGATCATAAAACCTAAAATGGCAACGTTAGTTTGATTTGATTGGTGATAAAATGGCCTCATTCCTGCTGTAATACAAATAATGTAGCTTTTCACACCTCCCTCCTCCAGCTCCTCCATTACTGCTGACTCACCATCAACAACCATTTCTCCGTCCCTCCGTTTCACATTAAGTCCCTCTGTTGTCTTGTTTCCTCTGAGTCATCCCTCCCTCTTACATGCCTGTTCATCTAGCTTTGTCAGGTATCTTTGTTCGCCATCTCCTTAAAAGCCTCGGGCTGCACCGAACCCATATTTTATTCTGTTCGCTTCCACACTAGATGGTGTGCTCACTGCCTGTAGAGTGACTTAGATACAGTAGACTGCAGCGTGTCGCCCTAATGGTGAGCCCTGAAGCGTGAATCATGAGTTACAGCTATTGTTTAACAGTTTGCAACCTGTGCTGACTTTTTTTTCTTCTTCTTCTTCTACGTGTGCATTTGCAGGATCACGACACCTGTCTACCCCCGAACGGAGACTACAGCGGCAGCAGCGTGGTCCTGGTTAACCCTTTCTGCCAGGAGACGCTCTTCATCAACAGAGACAAAGCTTCTGCCATCTAGAGACAGGAAAAGAGAGACACTGTCGGATTCTCCTCTTCTACTCCCCCTGCTGTTGTTGTCTATTTTATAAATGTGCTAAATATTCAGAGACTTTGACTTTATACTGTACATGACAAACACAAAGAGGCAACCTGAGAGAGGAGTGATGTGAGCAGACACTCTTTAAGGATGCACCCGCATATTTTTCTGATGTACATTTTCTACAAAAGGCTTAATTGTGATAAAAGGTTTTTATTGTCTTTATAAAATGCAGATTATATGTGGTTTTGTTTCATTACAGTGGCTTGATGGTGAGTGCACTGTGGATGTTGCCACATGAAATTTGCTTTAGAGAGAGAAACGTGCTACGAAAACATTAAAGCTGTTATTTTGTCATTTTATTTTTCCTTTAAGATCAATCCCAAAATACTTATAGCCTGTTGAACTTGAATATAGCACCTACATTTTTTGGGGGGGGAGGACAGTGATACTGTACGTGAGATCAGGGCCCATATCTATCAAACTGAGAAACACATTTAAGAATGATTTACAGAGCAAACTTGGGAGTAAAAAAGTGTAGGAGTAACCTTTAAGATCAGCTCTCAAGTGATCACATGAAAGCTGGAATACTGTGCATCTGTCCCATTTTTCATTCTTTTCACTGGTTTTTTATCTTTACATTTGACTGTACACTTTAATTGAAATTAACAACAAAATAGATTTATAGTATGTAAGAAATAATAAAACATTTTATTTATAGTATGCATTTGTAGATATACTAAAAAAAAACGTTTTAATGCATGGAAAGTGATCGCAAGCAAAATCAATGCTGTGCAATGTTATTGTTGTTTGCACTCTTGACACCTCTGGAGTTCTTATGATAAATAGCGTTTGTTCTTACGTTTGCAAGTATAAGTGAAGGATAAGTCGAAAATTCAATTTTAAGCAGGTTTATGAATATGGGCCCAGATTTGGATGGTTGATTTGGGCAGATTATTTGGGGGATTTGGCGTCTGCATTGAGCAGCTTTGAGAGATGTCAGTCAAATGACAAAAAGTGTCACCAGCTTCTCTTCAGAGGGACCACATAGATGTCTTAATTCCTTACGTTAAGTACAAGTTATATATAAAAATATATATAACAGTATGTGCGTGCTTGAAGGCCCTGTTTGTGCATGTAAGCACACTGTGAGTGTGGACGGATGAGTTCAAATGTGCCCCCCCTTAACTAATTATCACTGTTACTTTAAGTCAAACAAGACTTTGTATCACTTTCAGCTCAGTTTATATCTGTTTCTCTGTGAGGTCTGTGCGTCCGTCTGTTTGTCTCTTGTCTGTGTCGTGGAGCGGCTACTGGTTTTAGCCCAGTTTAAGAAAGAGTTTCTCAGCGCTGTAGGAAACAATTAGACCAACCTTGCTACTGTAAATGTCTCCCTCCATAAACAATGTGATGGTCCATCAATGCAAACTGTGTTTGTTGAATGATTGCGAATTAGTTGCTGGACCACATATTATGTGTTAGAGGCTGTCAAAAATCTTGATCAGTTGAAACACTGAGATAAATAATGTATGCTGAATATTTACTGTGAGCACATACAGAGGCAGTTTAATTACAAAAGAGTGAATATTTTTGTTTCATTATTGAACCTGTGGTCCTTCTATCATCTGTTTTTATTTTGCATTGCTGCAGTTGTATTCAATAATCAATGCTGCCTGCCTCTAACGTCGCTAAAGATTTTCTGCATTGTGAGATGTTGTTCTGAAATCACAGATTCCAAAGGCGATGTTGAAGAACACACCTAAACATATTGGTATTTCTTGCATTGGATGCTCACAGCTGGGCTTCTTGTTTTGCACGCTCAAAAGTGGATATTTTACAAAAACGTTCAGTGGCACGATAGGGCAGTGTTCAACATTATGTATTTTTTTGTACTGTAGTATACACTGTACTTTTTACTGCTGAGCAATAAAACAAAGAAAAAACACTGATTGATTTGTGTCAAGTGTTTGACTCACTGTACTGCACATGTTAGATAGATAACATACTTTCTGATTTACTACACAACAAAGAAGTGTAAACAGTCTTGCCGACCACAGCACATCCATTGTTGTGAGCTGGAATTTTCTCTTTGTGCACCAGTGCTGCATGTGGTCAAGTGACCTCCCGCTCTGTGAATATGACGTCAGTTCAGTAATCTGTTTACAAGCCTGCTTTACTGTTGAGGAGAGGCTTAATTTGATGTGAGTGTTTACAGATTTTAAGGCTTGTTCCAATCTGGCAAAACATGACTGTTCAACTTTTGTGTCTTTTTTGACATGACAGGCCTCATGCTGTTTGGCAAGTTTGATCCAAATACATGCAGGAGTTTAAAGTTTCTTCAGAAACATAGTTGGATGTTATCATCCGTCCATATAAGATGTATAAATGCTGATTCATATTTCAGCTTCATCTATTTAGAGTTCCTTATTCAGCCTCCTTTGTAAACAACGGCTTGAATGCATCCTGTCACTAAATGGTCGGGCTGAGATATTGGTCTTGAAATCAAAATTGAAAAGAAAAAGAGATGGCAGGCATATTTAAAAACTAAGTCCTGAGGGGATTATTCTGAGATTCATGTGACAGTTTTTAAACTTACAAAAACAGTAAGTTCAAAATAAAATATATACAGATACCACAATCAAATACAACCTATACACTTCTATATGGAAGCCCAATTCTGGCAAGAATAAAAGATAACATGTTGGGAATGACAAATTAAATATACTCATGGTGCAAGTTTTTAACAGACAGTAAGAAGACTGTTGAGGGTTGTGGTGGAGGCCATGTTGTGTGCAGCCACCATCACTTCAATTCAACTTTACACAAATTAAAATAACAAACATGATGTCAAAAAAGATTTTATATTGCAATATGCTATGACATTTAGGTGTTCAGAAGAGATGGAGGATGGAACAACTGCAGCAAAATAAAAAATAATGATGAAATATAAATGACAACAAATACATTGCAAGTAAAAATTATGTTTTAGGATATTAAATATGACTTAAAGTCAAAATTATGAGATGGTAAACCAAAATTTTAAGTAAAAGTTAGGGGGTGACAAATGAAAGTTATCAGATTATAGGAAGTAGAGTTTCTTCTAAAATAAGATACTGTGCCTAAGTACAGTCCATTTACCCCAGGTTATTATTTTTTTACTATGCAACTCAACACTTTCAGCAACTGCAGGTAGTTTTTGTTTTTACAGAAATAAGAAAATATGATGCATTGCTTTACATCAAGGCGCCACCTGTAATCCTTTACATTAGAATACTTCTTAAACAAAATGAACAATAGTACAATGACCTGAATGGGGACATTTTGAAACTTTAATGTTTGCCTTGTTTACTTTATGATATGACATGTTTTAGTTTTGCTTTGAAAAGTGCTCTATGAGTAAAGTTTTGTGCATTTTGCTAATAAGACTTATATACTTAATACTTTTCTACATTGTTGTATTGATGCTTTTACTTGATTCTGAATTTAATACATGTTTTACTATGATATAATTTATATACATTAGAATAGTTGATTTCTTGCAACTACTATAACTACAAATAAATAGCAATAAGAAGATACGTTTTAACAAAAATAAAGGTTATAAAAACATGAACATCTTTAAATAATTAAAATATAATTAAATACGTCTTGCATGTAATTTTAGAAGATTTTGAAATGTAACTGATTTATATGAGAAAATGTTCTAACATTGTGACTTTATTCTTTTAACTCGTACTACTTCCGGGTCAGGGTCGATGTTCTTCCGGGTCACGGTACAGATTTGTCAAATAGCCCGTGCATGGCATGGTTGTCAGGATTGCCTTCGATTAGGTGGACATTTTTTTATCAGCCTGTAACAGAAGTTAAAGAGTAAGGAGTAATCCCATCTTCTCCGTCCATTCCAACAGCTGTCCTCACTCCTCGGAGAGCAAGTTCGTTTTCCACCTTTGTCATTGCTCGGTTATTAGCTCACGAGTTTTAACGTAGCTCTTTTTTTTTTGAAAATGGCGGATCTACCACCAGAGAAGAGCCTGGACGATTTCTTCGCCAAGCGGGATAAAAAGAAGAAGAAAGAGAAAGGAAAGGGCAAAGAGCCCACCGTCGGGCCCACGTCGGCTGTGATAAAAAAGACGAAGAGGGAGAAGGAAAAATCCGCTAAAAACGACAATCAAGACGCGCAGATTGAAAAGGTAACTGCTATCGTTGCTCTCCGGCTAACTTTCTTTTTTTTCTGCGTCTTTTTCCAGATACCGGTGTCGTGTCAAATGTTGCATCCCTCGTCATAATCTGTTTCCTGCTTAGATTCAGCCCGCTAACTCGCACGTTTCTCTAAATTTTCCACCAACTAATTTATTTGATCGGTTACGTAAATGTATATTTTTTTTGACATGTAAAAAGGAGGAAAACACCGGTTGCTAGCTAGCATATGGTTCCTACAGGCACACGCATTCTGATGAGCCACGACGTTTTAACGCCGTAACACTGTATTTTAACACGCTTATCAGTTTTGTGTCAAAATATCGGTTGCATGTAACCGTTTTGAGGCCCGGTTGTGCGCTCGTGCTGTTAAAGGCCTTGTGTGTGCATGACGAAGCTGTCATCCCTCTTGAATCGTGGCTGTCCGGCTAAACGTTCACGTTAGGCCGAGGAGCCGCCATTTGTCATAGGGAGGGGAGGGGAGGGGGGGGTTCATTATTTTTTTCTTTTTTTTTAACCATTTCTTGTGTATATCTGACTTAAACTGGAGATGTCTTACCAAAAGAAGAGACTCTCCTTTTTAATTTAAAGCATTGTGCAATACTGCAAATGTAGATGTGCTGATGTGTGTCGAGAGTTAATGCTCCCTTCTGTTCAGAAGGATGAGGAATGGAAAGAGTTCGAGCAGAAAGAAGTTGACTACAGCGGCCTCCGGCTGCAAGCTCTGCAGATAAGGTGAGAAATGACTCCAAGCCGCCTCTGTGGTAGTTCCTGCCGCATAGGCTCGCATGGTAAAATGAAGTACCAGGCTGGTAGTGATAGGTAGCTTGACTCCAGGTCTGATTTTTAGTTTTGATGAAATGGCCTCTACGCCCAGTTATCAACCTATGATCACGCTGCCTTACTGTATGGATGTATTCTTGTGGTTTTATACACTCAATACTTATAACTACCACTGGACTGAAGATATACATAATAGTTTCTGTTATAGATTTTAGTGCAAAAATACTAAATATGTGCTCTTAAATTGATTCATCCATCAAGTTGTTTTACAAGCAGAGCTCAGTGAAACCACACATTAGGATAATACATCCTCGATAGCTCATCGTGGGTTTTGGTGTTTTGCAGTGACGAGAAAGAGGAGGAGGAGTACGAGAAGGAGGAGGTTGGTGAGGATGGAGAGATCATTCTGGTGAGCAGAGACAATATGTCAGGTCCCTGGAATAAGTCCGGTGCTACTCCGACTCCTGCTGCTGCACCTGTCGGTGAGCAAACCCACTTCAACGTAAAATATAATTCTGCACCTGAAAATCAGTTTTCTTCTTTCAAACTGGTGGTTTTTATTTTGTAATTACAGAGGAAGTAGAGGAGCCTGAGTCGAAGCCTTCTGGTGTATATCGCCCTCCGGGGGCCCGGCTGACCACCACCAGACGAGCCGCCACCCAGGGGCCTCCTGAGATCTTCAGTGACACGCAGTTCCCCTCTCTACTGGCCACCGCCAAGCACGTGGAGACACGCAAGTAAGTAGAGGTCCGTGACAATAGCTGGTTTAACAATGGCGGCATGTGTCCTGTTGCAGTTTTGACTGAAGTGATGCATGTCTGTGCTTTCAGGGACAGAGAAATGGAGAAGACCTTTGAGGTGGTGAAACACAGGAACCGCGGTAGAGAGGAGACCGGCGGCACCGCCTCTATGCAGCAGTTGCAGCTCGACAACCAGTACGCCATCCTGGGGGATAAGTAGAGCCGCTCCCCTCCGTCCCCTGGCCCCTTCAGCAAGGTCCCGCCCAGCCCCTCAAAGGAAGCTGAACTCCAGCTGTGTTGACTGCAGTCCTGACGGAGCTCACCTTGCCACCATCACCACACTGGTTACACACGCACACATACAACCACACACAGTGACACTCCCTTTAAATCAAAAGTAACACACTTTACAGACATTGGTTGGCAAAACTGAAGGACTGCGTCTGAAGGGGCTGATGAAAGAGGGAATAATTGAAAAGGAATTGGCAAAAATACACCCAAACGTACAAAACTGCAGCAGCAACAACAGACTTTGTGGATTGTACTCAGAGCAGCAGTTGTGTGGCGCAACTTTTCTCTGGACTTCAACTTGCTTCGATAAAGCCACGGAGGATAACTTTAGGCGAGATGATTTTACAAACTTCTGTGAAAATATCTATTTTTTTGCAAGATCGTTACGACCCAATCGCACATGGTATTTTGGGGTGTGTTTTTGAGTTGCGGTGGGGAGCTTCGGGAGATGCTACCACAGCAGCAGAGCTGGTGGTGACGATGTGGACTGAACTTTTTTTTTTTTTTTTTTTTTTGCTGTGGTGGCGAACGGGGAAAACACCAGCCTTCCCTTCCCATATACAAGCGGCCATCAGGCTCTTTACTTTAGAAACCTGAAGCTTTGTTCATTTCCCTTCATGATGACGACGCTCTGCGAAGATCTATGGACAAGAAGCGATAGGTTGTGGTCCTCCAGTTAGAATTTCTATATAAAGTGGCCTTACTGATAGAAACTGCTTTGTCATCTGAAGAGAACTTTGCTTGTTGTCTGACGGGCTGCTGCCTGCCTCTGGATCTCAACACTTTGTGACAAAAAACACATACGAAAATAACCCTTCTGTTCAAGAATGTAGTGCTGTTGTAGTTTGCCTGGCGATTGCAACGACTAACTGTCTTTTATATCCACTGTTTGATTTTGCTGCCCCTACTTCATTTTGGTCTTTTTAGACATCAGATAAATAAATTAAAGCTGGTTTCTAATCCGAAAAGCTTTTTTTTTGGTGACACATATTTTACTGTGGTTTGACACCAAATGGTCACAGATGTTACAAGTATCAAAAAAAATGAAGGGAAACTAATTTTAATTAATTTTTTTTTTTTTTTTTTTTAGGGCCATACTGATTCACAACTTTTATTTGTTAAGCGCTACATTTCAATCTCAGTTTTAAGACTTCTTTTTTTTTTTTTTTTTTTTAAATCAAGGCTTTCCTCATAAGTAAACACGCTGCGTCAGCTCTCATTGTGTAGAACAGGTAGCTTGTGCGTAACTTAATTTCTAGAGAGTTACATCGACTACTCGTCGGTAGAAACATACCGTCACCAAACCAACAGAGTACTGTCCACTTACAACACGGTGGTTCAAAATGAAAAGGGTTTTTACTACAAGCATAGTTATGTTTAGGAAGGTAAAGAACTGGATTTATGTTCTATGTTTCTGTCCTTTCCATAAAAGATGCCGGGGAGAGAGGATCCCTGCTGGAGCACTTTGGGTGGACGTAGATAATATTTGTGATGAAAAGAGAAGAGCCGAACACAAAAAAATAAAGTGATCCTTGTGATTTGAAGTGTTGTCTGAATCTTTAAACGTTGAAAACGGGGATTTACTGTATACAGTGTCTTTTTGTGTTGTCTATTTGTAATCTTAAGACCTGTGTTAACCTGCTATCCCTCCCATAACCTCTTACTTAATTGGTGTCCCATTTTGACAAATCGTGGAAAAATGATCAAAAGTTTCAGCTCTTTTTGGAAAAAGTAGACGTTTCAAATGACCTTATAACAAGCATATTAACAAATAAAAACCTTTCTCACACAACAGACTTGAAATGTTTATTTGAAGGAGACAGAAACGCCAACTAAATACTTAAATTGTCATCTCTGATTTAAAACATGTTGCCATCTGTTCAGCCCCTCTGCCGTCTGTCTTCATTTTTGGTTCACCTGAAAAGATATGACTCACATTTAAAGTTAAACAGCTTAACTATTCAACTATCACCACTAACCGTGGTGAGTGATGAATAGTTTCTTACCTCGATCACTTCTCCATCAGTTAAGTCGAGGATTCATCGCTGAAGTACCGATGACAAATGGATGGGGCTGAAGAAAACGAAAACGAACCCATTTCAGGAACTTGCAGTAACTCTTCCAAAATATACGAGCATTCTATATGATAACCAGGTGTCTGAGTTTGCACACAACTCTTATTTTTTTTGCAGATAATTAAAAAGCATTTAGAGACTGCTTTTGAGAGTATTTCATTCTACTTTAGTGAGATGGTTTGTTTTCTGATCGGTTGAATTGTAATGTGCTGTTACTCTCGCCGGCCACAAGGTGGTGCTGCAGCGACTTTAATCCGCTCGGAGTCTGTTCTGGTTCAACAATAGATCTGTAATGGCGGGCTAACCACAGTCTGTAACTCATCTTGATCGTAAATGTGCCTCCTTTCTGCTCAAACACCTGCTTTATAGTGCCCACATCAGTGGAGTCTTGCATAATATGTACTGATATTGACCTAGAATAACATCAAAGTCCAACCGACATATTTGTTAGCAAATGTGAAATCGCTTACGCACACAAAAACAACTGATTAAGTGTTTACTCTGTTATAATACAGTGAAAGATACCCAATAAGATTTACCAGAGGCCAAGATGACGTCTCTAAACTCTTTGTTTTATCCAAACATCAAGCTAATACCCAAAGATATTCAGTTTACTATCACATGTCACAAAGAAAATCTTCACATTTGAGAAACTAAAATTTAAAAATGATTATCAGTGTCGGTAGAGATTCTTTTTCTGTTGACAGATTAATCAACTATACTCGTTTCAGCTCTATTGTAAAGAAACGAGACGAACCTAATAAACTAAAGGGATCGTTGAGAATAATGTCATGTCTGAATCTTTAAACTGAAAGTGGGTATTAGTCCACAGTGTCCAGAAAAATTGTCATTCAAATCTCAGGTGAAAAAGGTCTGTAACCGGGTCAAATTGAATCTATCAAATTTCAGGTTCACACGAAACTACATGTCAACAGAGGCAGCTAAGACATACATGCTTGCTATGGTCGTTTCCCATATCACTTACTGTTTAACAACCTGGTCACAAGCTAGCACCACTACTCTGAAACCACTACAGTCATTGTATTTTACACTCAAAATCCTTGATAAAAAATCTGTTCGTTCTCATCATTGCCCTATACTAAAAAAATAGAACTTGTTTAGTTGGGAGAACATGATTAAATATGTGAATGTCTGTCTGATGTACAACAAGATGTATACATGGCTTGACCTCTCCTCCGCTCAAACAATTTGTGATCACAAGAACAACTGGATATCGGCTCACAAGAGGAGCAGCAAGAGGGGATTGCATTATTCCACTCAGGAAAAGTGCTTTCAGTAAGTCTGCATTTTCTGTACAAGTTGCACTACAATGGAACTCCATCCCAGTGACCATTAGAGAACCACAAACATACAGTTCATTTCAATCTCACTTACAGAAATGGTTAGTTAGTACCCAACTCTGTCAGCACTGGATTGTAACTGTTTCTCTGTCTGTTGTCACCTTTCTGTCTTTCTTTAAACTGCCGGTCGACCGTCAACTACCTGCATGCATGTCTTTTATTGTTGTTTAGCTGTGTCTGAGTGATTTATGTATTTCACATACTCCGTATGCTTTTATGTTTTGTGCGTCTGATGTGGATGTTTTTTAGTGTCTAAACAACAGCATAATACTGTTTTTAGTCCATGTTTCTATTTTAACATAGTTATCCTTCTTTTTATTTGCTTTGTGTGTGCTGACTTTGATAGCGTCTGTGTTGCATGTCTTGTCTGTACTTGGCAATGTATAACAGTTTTATTCTCACTTTTTTCATTGTTTGTGCACGCATTGTTAAGTGTCAATATTGTATAACCTTTTAACTTTAATCTTACATTGTTTTTAGGTTTATTTTGTAAACATCTGCCTTTGGGACTACAGATGAAAAATAGCCTTTTGGCTAACTCTGGCGCTTTTGCAGAAATGTTTTTATTAATGTGCACTGTCCCGTTCAAATAAACCAATAAATAAATTAAATAAAAAGACATTTTGGCCACAGCCTCTTTCTGCACTCTGCCCCAAGTCTACTTATCTGATGAAGATGCAATGCAGATACATTTTGTCAGAGTAGTTAGTCAATTTTTTCGAATGATGACTCACATTTAAAGTTATACAGCTTAAAATAACAAACACTAATCGTGGTGAGTGATGAATAGTTTCTTACCCGGGGCACTTGGACCACTTTTACATCTTTTGCTGTAGTCGGGGAAACATTGGTCTGAAGAAGATTAAAACATTTCAGGAACTTACAGTAATACTGTACAGTAACTCTTCCAAAATATACAAGCATTATATGATAAGGCGTCTCTGAGTTTGCACACAACTCTTATTTTTTTTGCAGATAATCAAAAAAGCATTTAGAGACTGCTTTTGAGAGTATTTCATTCTACTTTAGTGAGATGGTTTGTTTTCTGATCGGTTGAATTGTAATGTGCTGTTACTCTCGCCGGCCACAAGGTGGTGCTGCAGCGACTTTAATCCGCTCGGAGTCTGTTCTGGTTCAACAATAGATCTGTAATGGCGGGCTAACCACAGTCTGTGGGGCCAACTAATAACTCAGCTTTTTACACTGGATGATTCGGTCTGTAGCGTTCACTGTGAAAACTTCAGCGGGAAAAATACCCAAAATCATAACTTTATATTCCCGTTACACACGCAGCCATTTCATCATTTCGGGCAGACAACATGCTTATCTGTTGGGACACAAACAGCTTGAAAATGATCGTTTTGATTATTTCATCTTAATGGTTTGCCCATTGAATGCTATGTGACCGACTCACACAATGAAATTCAAGTTACATTTTTCGACACATTTGTAAGAATCCATTAATTTCTGTATTAAAATCAACATTATTAGGAGACACTTGAGACTTGCTTATGTTGTAATCCTTCATAGCGAACAAAGTCAACATGACATTTTTTCAATGTTGCATTAGCAAACTTTGTTAACGTAGCACTTAACAAAACAAGTAATAAAGTGTTTTACAAGAAGAAAAAAATTGACGTAGACCGATCAAGACATCAGCTTTAAAGTGAAATACATCACCTTACATTTGTTGGTTTTGCCTCAATGGTGAAAAAATAATATATAAAACAATAAAAACAATGTTTTGAAAGTTCAAATGTTTGTGTTTTGCTGCAGTGATGCCATCTGCCTATAATTCGCACCATCACCTAACACTGTATCAGAAGAATTATGCTACTTCAGCTTCTCCTGCTGCCACGTTTTTCACCTACCTGTGATGTATCTGTTCCTGTATTTGCAAGCGGCACCGTGCCTCCTTTAGGCCACTGAAATTAAAATATATACAATAACCTTAAACCAAAGACACAACACTGAGTGTTTGCATAATATCTTTTAGCTTTTTAGTTGTTTTCTGGTTCTGCAAGGTCATTGACACAAGATTTCCAACAAAACAGTAAAATAATCAATAAGCCAGTTTCATAGAGACGACAGCAGTATGATAAATGCTCCATAAAGAATGCAGATGTTCCCTTTTCAGTAAATTTGGGAAAAGCCACCATCGTAACACACTGTCTTACCGAGGCTGTTAGAATGAATCCCACCAAACACAGCAGTGTAAGTCCTCTCATCTTGATCGTAAATGTGCCTCCTTTCTGCTCAAACACCTGCTTTATAGTGCCCGCATCAGTGGAGTCTATTGCATAATACGTGCTGATTTAGGTTAATATCAAAGTCCAACTGGGCATATTTGTTAGCAAATGTGAAATCGCTTACGTACACAAAAACAACTGATTAAGTGTTTACTCTGTTATAATACAGTGAAAGATACCCAATAAGATTTACCAGAGGCCAAGATGACGTCTCTAAATGATTTGTTTTGTCCAAACATCAAGCTAATACCCAAAGATATTCAGATTACTATCACATGTCACAAAGAAAATCTTCACATTTGAGGAGCTAACATTTAAAAAGTGATTATCAGTGTCGGTAGAGATTCTTTTTCTGTTGACAGATTAATCAGCTATACTCGTTTCAGCTCCATTGTAAAGAAACGAGAAGAACCTAATAAACTAAAGGGATCGTTGAGAATAATGTCATGTCTGAATCTTTAAACTGAAAGTGGGTATTAGTCCACAGTGTCCAGAAAAAGACATTTTTGGCCACAGCCTCTTTCTGCACTCTGCCCCAAGTCTACTTATCTGATGAAGATGCAATGCAGATGCATTTTGTCAGAGTAGTTAGTCAATTTTGTCAAATTGGAGATAAATGATTTAAATTGAACTAATCTCTGTAGACCCCAAAGGTTTACTGACCTAAAGACAACCAAATTATGAAATGAAAGGACATTTTCTTGTAATGGTTTTGATAAAATGTTTAATTAAAAGAAGCAGTAGCAGAACGATAGTACGCCTGGTGGTTTCTCATCTTGATCGCTGTTTTTCTCCTTCAGAACTCAAAAGCTGTTTGCATCTGTTGAGTTGAGTCCTGTTGTGCGTGCGTCATCCCTGGAAAAGACAAGAAACGACATTTCAGCTCAACAGCATTATGTAATTATCTTTAGCTAATTACCACCCCCTCTTTTGAAACGTGTATATCGTGAGATTAGAAATTGCATTGCATGCAGATTAAATGCTATTTGACATGCAACATCCAATAATAAATATATACAGGTGCTATTTATGTATTTTGTTTTCCTTGAGTTCTGAACAGTTTCTTACCTGGGTGTCCTCTCCAACAGTAGGTGATGGGAACTCAGGAGCATTGTCATCTGGCAGCTGGGTAGCCTTCCAAAATAATCAGCAACACTTTACAGTGATGTAAGTATGATATATTAATTCATCAAAATGATCTAAAGTTCACATACCTGTACAGTTGGGTCTGCCTTGCGTTTCTCTTCTTTCTGAAATGGAAAAACATTGCACTTCAATAAGAACGCACCGTAAATATTTACCCAAATCCAATGACCCAACAGTGGTTGTTTGCTTGTTCTAAAAGGGGGGGGATCAAACTCTAAGCTTGTGAAATAAGGCTAATGTAATGCATGTATTTCAAGCCTTGGTGTGAGTCAAATTCAACAAATATTAATATAATTGCAAAGAGAGTGAAGAACTTAATACAAAATAAATGTAAAACAAGTTATTTGTAGTAAAAGGACACAGTTGGATAAAGTGAAATGTAGTAACAAACTGTGGGAATCTTCAGTCCAAACATCTCTACAACAGACTAAGTGCCAAACTCAATACTCTTCTTTGAAACTGGTGGATAGATAACACAAGATAAGAAGCACTCCTCATGTCAAGAGAGAGCGCTGAAAAAGTGCCTTTAATCTTCTCTAATGACATCAGATATAAAGAGACATTAGTTTAAATCGGTTTCCTGCTCTGCTAACCTTTTGTTTGAATTGGAGATCAAGTTTCCCCTCAACAAATCAAACTGTCGGAAGCAGGCGAACACATTCCCAAGAATATTTGACACTTTCCATATTTTGACTTCCAAAAACCTCTTGGAGAACAGTGACATCACTTCCTGGCACAAAGACTACCCACCATTGATGTGTTGTTTGTGATGTTAAACGTGTGTTCACTCATCATCGGAAATATACTCCCTGGAAGCCACTGAAAATGAAAATGTAAAATGATTTAGTCCAAGAACACGATAGTGTTTACTTTGTACTCATTTGCCAGATTGTTTGCAAAGGATTGACGTTGGCGTTGGAGGCCTACATGCTGTAGGCCTCTACTGATTAGTTTGATTCTTGAAAAAAAGTTCTAAACTTGTTTTACATCAGAGTAGTATCAATATGAATATTGAAATAGATATGGAAGCAAAGAAATGGCATCATTTGCCTAAATAATGAAATGTATTAGTATTAGAATACTTTACAATGAAAACAATCTGTCAAGTAAAATATTCCAGAGTTTAAGTTTAGTAGTATATCAATTTGAACATTAAATTCTGTGATATTTAAATTTAAATATTGACTATGCAGCAGTAATTGAATTAAACAAATAGGTATTACTTTATTCATAATCTTCAAATATTTGCCACTGTCTTTGCTCCCATACATTTGGGGCATTCCATCCATCCATCCATCCATCCATCCATCCATCCATCTGGGGCATTGTACGTAACATTTCAGCTATCGCAACAAAATGAAAACTAGAGGACATTGGCGGTTAATATTTCACAATCAAAGTCGTTTCCTTTCCAGTATTATCTCCAATCCTACAACACCAGGTCTTGTTGATGCTGCTAAATTTTGAATATCTTTTGGGATCAGACAATCTGGGGATAATCCCCAGATTTTACTCACCGCAGTTGATGCCGTGAGAAATAATCCCAACAAACAGAGCAGTGTGAGGCCTCTCATCTTGAACGTTTAGCCTTCTATCTGCACATACGCCTGCTTAATAGTGTCCATGTCAGTGGGTGGAGTCTGTTCTTGTGTGTTTTGTGCTCCAGCTGAATTACAAAGTCCACCTTTTTTATTTTTACCTTTTTGAGATTTTAGTTATCTATTCATTGACTTTTGATTTCAAACGTATATTTATTGACTTTGGTATATTTGGATTAACAGCCTATATGGTTTTGAGAGGAGGTCCTGTAAGGGACCCCATTGTCAGTCAAAACCTTTCCTACCTCAGACTCGGTGCCAGAACAAATAGTTTTCTTTAGAGATCATATTCGCTGAAAAACAAGTATATTCACACAAGTAATACTAATACAATTGTTTAGATCATTTAGAAAATCACTGTTTATTTTTTTTAAAGAGAGGTAATTGAAAAAAGCTTTTTAATTGACTAATATAATATATTTTTTTACTTGATTTTTAGATTAATAGTTTTTAAATTGCATTATTTAAATCCAAATTAAAGTAATAAGTACATTAAGTCAGTCAGAATAAAACGCATGAATTAATTAATTCATACATTCAAGGTTCAGCTCTGTTGTCATACAATACAGTACTGCATTATGAAATGCAGTTGTGTGTAGTTGTAAGAAACAATTAAAAAGATTAATTTTAGTTTACATTCAGTAATTTACTAAATAAGTCAATTAGCAATTGACGTGTTTAAGAAACATGTAAGCATATATATTGTTAATTGTATATTTAAATATTAGAAAGTTCATAGTCAGGTGGTACAATGCGCGCGGGCTCTGCCACTTTGCGCGCGCTCGCGTTGGTTACCATGACTCTGAATGACACAACCACAGACGGTGAACAGGCAACAGACTGGAGCTGATGGAGCGAGCTGAAGTGACCGATTCTCACCTTAAAAGAACCTCCTCTTTGGAGCAGTTCACGTGGATTTAGTTTAACTATTTGTAGAGTCTGACGCATTTTGACTTGTGTTGTGGTGTCGTCGTGTTCATGACCAAAGGTTATGGAGGCTCACAGCAGCCTGGTCCGAGTGTTCGTCCGGGTCCGACCAACGGCAAACTTCTCCCATGACGTCATTGAATGTCTCCCTGACGGGCAGGTAACAGTAACGCTCCAGTTGTAATACCACCAACGGTCGTTACTTGTGTGGTCATGCTTTTGTCAACTTGTCCACAAATCTAACCATTGTAACTTGTTTATCTTTTTTTTCATGGCAAACAATTTGAAGTGGCATAACACGTGGAGGCACAGGCGCAATTAATTAATTAGATAATTGATGGCTGCATTCCATTTAGCCAACTAGCTATGCGTCTGGTTCCACGGCCCTGATATTACGCATGATTGCTCACTGGGGGCCATTCATAAATGGACTGGTGCCATAGTTAATGGTATTACTTACACCTGTGCTTGTCTTGCGAATGTCTTTACTACTGTTTTACTGAGCATGTTGCTTACCAGTAGAGCTGACAAAGGGAGTAGTCTGAAAATAATTCAACTTTTTATATTGATTTATCTTTTGTTTTTGATAAGGGACAGTGCACATTAATAAAAATATTGCTGTAAATGCGCCAGAGTTAGCTAAGAGGCTATTTTTAATCTTTAGTCCAAAGGCATGTTACAAAGTAAACCTAAAAACAGAATATAAGATTACATTTACAAAGTTATACAGTATTGACCCTTTACAATGCACGCACAAACAATGAAAGACTATTAATATAAGTAGTATCATCATTCAGGAGACTTATACTACATTGTCAAGTACTAACGAGACATGCAACACAGAGGCTCTCAAATTCAACAAACACAAAGCAAACATGAACATTTGCTGGTTATATATTAGCGTATTGGACTGTTGGTTGAGCAAAACAAGCAACTAGAAGACACCACTTTGTTCTGTGGGAATTACTTATGGACATTCATAGACCAAACAATTCATTTAGTCATCAAGAAAGTCAGTTGTCCGGTTTTTTGGGTCTACCTAGTTAAAAGTAATGCAGTTTAATATATCTGCACTGCTATTAATCCTGCCTTCATAAAGATTATGGTTTTCGTTTGTTTACGGCACTTTTACGGTTGTTTTTTCCTTTTATTTATCACCTATTGTGGATAAATTAACATTGAATTATCTCACTGTTCATTGTCCAGGACAATAAATGAATAAATAATAATAATAATTCTGGTATTTGTGTGTTGTCCCTCAGACAGTTAACATCCATCACAGGAAAGACTCCAGGAAGCCCCAGGACACCAGGAAAAATCAGCTGAGCAATCGGTCATTCCGGCTGGAAGGCGTCCTGCAGGGTGTATCCCAGGAGGAGTTGTATGCCCGAGTGTGCCGACAGGTGGTACTGGGAGCACTGGATGGCTATAATGGTATATCCTTTATAAACATAAGCATATTCAACTTAACATCAATGTCAAACCTACCGTGCTGTGGGTTTGTTGTTTTTCTGTCTTTGGTCTCTATCACCACCACTGAAAGGGCCCAAATTCCCCAAATGATATTGATAAGAGTGTCTAGTCTAATTTTGGAGATTTTCATGATTGTATATTCTAAAGCGTATTCTGTTGTGTGTGTGTCTTTCAGGAACTGTGATGTGTTTTGGGCAGACGGGTGCGGGAAAGACCTACACCATGACAGGATCTACAGAATCATACAAGCAGCGTGGCATCATTCCTCGGGCCCTTCAGGAGGTAGCTCGCATCGTGTGAAAATGATTATCTCTGAACACCCTGACGGCTCCATTTAAGTAAATAAGTTTTTTTTTATTTTAAATGAAATCTCTTATATGGTATTCAGGTGTTTCGGGAGGTGGACAAAAGGACTGAGCACGTCTTCTCTGTGCACCTGTCCTACCTGGAGATCTACAACGAGACCCTGGTGGACCTGCTGTCATCGCTGCAAGGCTCACCACGCCCGTCTCCTCGTGGCATGGTGGTGATGGAGGAGCCAGGAAGAGGGGTGTTCATCAGAGGTCTGTCTCTTCATCCTGTCCACAGTGAGGAGGAGGCTCTCAACCTGCTGTTTGAGGTGTGGTCTGATGTTTACAGCTGTAAGAACCTGTTCTATTTGAAGAATTAATTCACCTAAAAATTAAGTAATTATTGGAAGTTTTTATGAACATACGAGCACAGAATTAAGATGTTTAATGCTTCAAACTGTTGTTCCAAAGGTCGAGCATCATCTTTTATTTTCTATACTGTTCCCACAGAGAGCCCTCTGCTCAAGTAGCAGACCACACACACCTTAACCCGCAGGAGAAGATACAAGCAGACATGTGTTAAGAGGATGCAGAATATAATTTGATTTAATTTCAGGTTGTTGTTGTTTTCATTTTTTGCCTATGTAATGTTCTGTAATCAGTTTTAGTTGACTAGGGTGGGAGCAGTGTACTTCCCATGATTTTATGGATGAATGATTTGAAAATGTAACTATGATAAAGCTGTTCTTTCTTTACTCAGGGTGAGTTGAATCACATGATTGGATCACATGCCTTGAACAGGAGCTCCTCCAGGTCCCACTCTATCTTCACTGTGCATATAGAGGTATTCATTATTTAGTTGTTACTGTGATGTTGGTGCTCAAACATGCCTTTTTCCTGCACACGGTTTTAAGTAGGAGAAAATGTCTTTCTTGTTCGCAGTCTCGCTTACGTACTCTCTCTGATGCCAAGTACGTCACCTCCAAGCTGAATCTGGTGGATTTGGCTGGGTCAGAGAGGCTGGGAAAGACTGGGGTGAGTTTGACAATGTTTGACTTATTTATGCTGAAAAGCCATTAAAAGGCCTTTTGCATAAGTGAACTTTAACACTCGTAACACAAGGTTCATAGGGTTATGTCCAGGTGTAATGTTAACATTCTATTTAAAATGTATATTAATATAAAGTCTTGGCTTTCTCATCCTCCAGTCAAAGGGCAATATGTCTTTCTCTATGATTTGACATGTAACATTATCTTTCCCCTTTCTGTTCTTTCAGTCAGAGGGTCAAATGTTCAAGGAAGCGATGTATATCAACAAGTCGTTGTCTTTCCTGGAGCAGGCCATCCGGGCGCTGGCAGACCGTCGCAGAGACCATGTTCCCTTCAGACAGACTAAACTGACTCATGCCCTCAAAGACTCACTGGGTGAGACTGCCACGGCCTTGGGTTTTTAGCAACAGCAATAGCTTGTATTTGGTCATTTGACTGGTACTTTTCTCTGTTGTAAAACTTGTAAAATATACTATTTCTGTAGGGGGGAACTGCAACACGGTGCTTGTGGCCAACATCTATGGTGAGGCTGCACACATAGAAGAAACAGTAAGTAATGGAAAAGCGGTCTCTTTCTTACTGCCCGTGGTCGTCTTTGAGCTCTGGAAGATAATCAATATTCTTTGCAGCTCTCTACTTTGCGTTTTGCGAGCAGAATGAAGTGCGTCCGGACAAACCCTGCTGTGAATGAACACCGCGATCCAGCAGTGAGTTTTCCATCCTGCAGTAATAACACACATAATATAACACAAAAAGTACTCTGGGAGTTCATACATGGGTACAAATGTGTATTACTTTTGTTTACAGTCTGTTCTCTGATGACTGACGGAGATGAGAACACAATGCAGAGTGATTCATGAAATGTACTGTTGTGATTAGGCACAGATCAAGAAACTTGAGAAGGATGTGCAAATGCTGAAAGAGGAACTGTCCATCTACAATATATTGGTGAGTAGAAAATGTTATAAATATATTTCATTATAATATGTAATGTGTAGTCTATTGTCTGATATCGCTGATCTGCACATCATTTACACCATGTCACTCATCTTTCATTATTCAGTAGTAAATGACCTAAATACTATAATTAATTTGACCTGTATTCAAGTATGTAACTCACATGGTATGTTTCAGTACCAGGCAGTGCTTTCTAATGTTTATTTTAACTTTAAAAACATTTAAATGCCCATTTTTCCCCCTCCACCAGGCAAAGCGACCAAGCATCACGTACGAGCCGTTGTCTGAAGCCCAGCTTGCGGAGATCCACAGCCAGGTTCAGCGGTACCTAGAGGGTAACCTGGAGGAAATCAGTGTGAGAAAACACGCAGCTATAATACTTACTCAGCCATTAAAAATCAGGCCTAAAATTCAACTTTTTAAAGGCCTTAAATGTCTCTCCATGACACCTAATTACAGATTGTAAGCATCAGGCAGGTCCAAGCAGTGTTCGCTCAGTTCAAGCTTGCTGTGCAGTGAGTAGCATCTACCTTTTGGAATCTTCAACCTCCATATGCAGTGTAAAATTGGAACACGGCTTTATTTGTAAATGGTGAACAATTCTGCATCTTTATGTATGTGAGCAGGAAACAGGGGCAGAAGGTGAAGGCTCAGCTATGCCAGACCTACAACGTGGTGGCGAAAGACCAAAGTGCTAACACAGCTGCCTTCAAGGTCGGTCTACATCTGATTCAACGCATCTCGTGGAAATTAGTAGTTGTCCTTCTGACGGCCTGTTTAGTGAAGAGTTGTGATTGTGCTTTGATTAGATGTTGCTCTGTAAACTCTTTTAGGAGATGGACAGCAGAGGCAGCACTGACGATGTGAAGGTCGGCAGCTTTGAGGCGTCTAATCAATCACTGAAAAACAACGAGCACCAGAGTTCAACCATAACTAAAAAGTCTAAGGACAAACAGAGGTTGGTAAACAGTGAACATCTTATTAGCTACAAGTAGTAGCCACACAGCTAACTAACAGACTCCATGGCAACATTACGTTTCTTATTTGCATCACACAAAAGCATTTTTGGAACTAGTTTAAACTTTGAGCGTGACCATCTTCCAAATAGAAGTAAGACAAATTAATAATAATAATTATAGGTGTGATAATATAATAAAAATTGATTGAGCACAGTGTTATTTTAGAGCCCTTGCCCCTGAATAGTTTGCCGTCTCTTCCCAGTTCTACTCCATCCAAAGCAGAAGCCTTTGAGGATTTCAAGGTGGGACCAGGCAGCAAGATCAACCGCATCCTGAAGGAGAACAAGGCCGTGCTACTGGAACGCCACAGTCTTCTTCGACAGCTAACTGAGGAGGTCAACGCTGTCAAGAGAGAGATCGACTGCACCACAGCCTCTATACAGCAGCAGCAGGAGACGAGAGGAGGCCAAGGTACCATCATGAGGATATTTATGAAAAGTGGGAGATGCTTTGATTTTTGCTTTGCTGTTCTCAATGGAAGCTCGTCTTTACCAATATTGGTATTTCATATTTCTTAAGAAGTGGAATATCATACTATATTATTGACATTTTAGGCATTTTTTTTAAAGATGTTTTCATTTGTTTTTGTATGAAGGTCAGTATTTGGTGCTGGAGGAGCCGCCAGATGCCACTTCATTGATGCAGCTTCGAGAGCTAAAGGGTCTGTACCGGCAGAGATACGAGGTGCTGCGTGACATCAAGGCAGAGGTCAACTACTGTCAACACCTTGTGGATCAGTGCAAGGTGCACCTGCTCTCTGGTCAGTTCTCCAAACATCTTGTATCTTCTTCTTCCCTGAGACAGCTCATCAGAAAATAATGAATTGCTCAATTATGTCCCAGAATTTGAGAACTGGTATGAGAAGTCTTTCCCGGTACCCGAGGAGAGAACTAAGGATAAAACCCTCGAACAAGTGAGTCTGCCTCATATTTACAACAGTGCATCTCTCATGTAGAAAATAATGCTATTGTGTAGTTTTCTATAAGCAAACTTTCACACAAATTATAGAAGTAAAGGTCCATGACTCATTTATAGAAGTCCCACTCAGTGTGCAGGCAATCATTTCAGTTTGATGTGTTTCGGGCAGAGCTGTGAAGTAACTTTGGCAAGGAGTTACCTGCTTCCTTTCTGTCCTCAGGGCGAAGATAGCCAGCGGCCGTGTGAGCTTCTTCCTGACGACTGCAGCTCCGAGTCGTTCCACAACGCCCGCTACAGAATGCTGAAACGGGTGAGTCCTCTTTATTCTGGTTAACATCTAATGGACGACTGCTCAGTTCATCAAATAACATGAAGTGAATGGTGGTAAAGGTGTTTTTCTCCACAAAGAATCATGTGAAGGCACCACTTAAAATATGTTTATTAGAGATGTGCTCCGAAGTTTCTCACAAAGAAGTTATTCAGCAAGAAAAATGACTAATCGAGTGTTGAGGTGGCAGCCATAGTTTGGTCACGTCAACTCACCAATCACTTCTGCTATTGCCAGGAAAATAGTAGAGATGCATCAACAATCGTTGGCAAAGAAAAGGAAACCTTTTTGATTCTTCTGTCTCTCCAGAGAAATACTCGGGCGCTGTCCTTTACTCCGGTGCAGAGGAACTCGTCTGGACAGAGAAGACTTCCTCATATTCTCTGTTAGCTGAGTGAACTACAGTGTTCATGTGATCTGTTCATTGTGGATTAGTCAAGCACAAAAGACAATACCCAATAAATCAGCTTCTTAAATGAAAAGTAAAATTTATTATTCCTGAACCACAAAATAGACTTCTTTGGTTGTACAAATTCACTAGTTACAGTCTTGTATGAGCTCTACCCCTTAACCCTAGGACTTCTGACCCTTTCCCTCCGACATATTTGCAAGTAAATTCCCCCAAAGAGAACTCGAGACGAAAGAATAAACTTAAACACTGCATGAATAATGTAGTGAAACCCATCTGGAAAAAGGAGATTTACCTAGTGTAAGTTTAAAAAAAAAAAAGGAGATATCAGCCATTGTGAATGTAATCAAACAAACTGAATTTCAGTCAGTGAGAACATGGAAAGCTATCATTAGAAGACCTTACATTAAATTAACACAAATGCTACTATCCTGTGATTCTGTGAAAATACCCAAATACATAAACCGACAGTATGTTAAGCAATGAATTGAATGAGAATGTCTTGAGAGGGATTTCTCATTGGTTCAGCCTCTCCCATTAACAAACCAATATACACGCAGAGAGCATCCCAATACTAAGCCGGTCCAAACGGATGAGTCAGCAGTCCAGACACTCGCTTGGTCTCGGTTCAAGACTGGCTCAGTTTCAAACCCAAAGTTTGCTTTCCTTTCGGTATTTGTACAATATTCACACAATAATAAATGATTTTTTCAGTGTCAGATTTAAATAAAACATCTGCTACCTTCACGTCACTCTGGATCACCTCCAGATAATTCAAGGATAGAATGATTCACATTGATAATACCCTTAACATGTCAGGGTGAGTACCGTCAATTATAAAATATTACTAAAAATGTGTTTCCAAACTTTGATATTGTGATCCGTTTCTAAGCTGCAGCCTCCAGCGTACACATTCTCTAACAAAGATACTTTGTCCAAGCAATCTAGTTTGTAGATATGCTTCTCTTTAAACACGTCTGTTGTGAGTGTGCACATAAAGTGATATTCATTAGTTTAAAAGGTAAATTCAGATTAGCATCAGTCGTGCCCAAAAGGACCGGAGGGGTTAAAATAGGACTTCAATTTGAATAAAACAATAAATTATTTAAGATACGCAGTGCAAAAAAAGATATGTACGTTTTTTTTTTTTTTCGTTTTTTTTTAAAAGCTCCACATTTTGTGACTGTGAAGGTAGCAGGATGTTCCCTCCTCATTAATATTTACACAAACCCCTGACCTCTTTTCACTGAAAGCCTAAAAATATCATTCAAGAAGTTAGTATAGCTATGACCCATTTCTTTTCTCTTCCAGTATGTGGTTCTTTTTTTAACAGCAAAATCATTGGAGGTGCGAAAAATAAACTAAACTTCAGTCACCTCCTTTTAAAAAATAGCTCAGCTTCTACTTGATAAACTTGTGTACAACAACTAAAAAGAGATATTTAAGTAGCAATCCTAGCTAACCACACTAGCTCTCATCCACAGACTGGCACGCAGGATATAAGTGAGTGTGTGGTGACTATCAGCGCCGTAGTCTCTGCAGTGGTTATATATGGGAGAGTAAACCTCGCTCTACTGACACTTTGTAGTGCTTAGTGACTCTGCTCCTCCTGTGGTCCGCAGCGCATCTAAATGTGTGTCTTCGGCTTTCTCCTCTCGGTGGGAGGTGTTACGTGGGCACGGCCGTCTCCAGGCTGCGGCGGCCCTGCCTCAGTTTGCGCTTGTTGCTGTACAGAGCCATCTCCTCCAGGGCTGAGGTGGCAGGCGGCGGGCTGGGCGCCTCGACCTCGGGGCTGCCAGCGGGCACTAAACAACAACAACAAAACATTTAAGTCAAGCTGCTGCTGTCTATCCACTGTTTACATAAAAGTCACTCCACATGGGTCGCTGTGGAGAGGAAGAAAGATGAAGGCAACTGGACGGATCCCTTAAACCTGCGAGAGAAGCCCCACGTTCACAGCAGCAGGAAACAGGAATAATCAGTGACGGCATGTTTAAACCAGACAACTACAGTTTAAGATAGTTCTAGTCAGAGTAAAACCTAAAGTAACAAACTATCCCCTAGAAGTAGAAATAAATCACTTTCTACCACTGACTTATTTGCACTGCAAGGAAAAGTTTACCTTCCACAGGTGTAATTGATCAAAATAATTGGGGTCCCATTCTATTTAGTCAATATATAATTATACTTGTGTTCACCCTGCAGTGACATGTTAAAGCTGCTGCAGTTATTCTCAGTTTTACAGGAACCCATGTCCCACTGACCTGGGTTCATGTAAACTGACTGACTGATCGATACATAATCACTAGTTTCAGTTAACACTGAAAACAAACTCATGCACAGTCGGGTTCATGGTTAGTGTGACATCACTACTTTAGAAAGCAAATATGTCCCAACATTAGTTGCTGCTTCATACAGCAGCAGCAGGTGAAGCCCATCTGAACACCTGAACCCAGTTATGCCACACAGCTAGCAGGTTAGAGAATAAATGCACACACATGCACACAGGATCCTACCAATAGGAGCTGCTTATCCCAGGTAGTCACCTGAATCAAAGGGGGTAGAACAAATTGAGGTAATGAATGAGTTACTTATTGTCCACACAGTTTTCTCACTCGTCCCTTTCTCAAAGCCCGTTTTTAGAACTATTTGAAGTACCGCACAGCTCCAGTTCTCACCTGGGTTGCTGGAGCCGTCGTCGATGAACTGCAGGTCATCACCTGCTTCTGGGGTCTGGAAGAGAAGAAGAGCCAGTGAGTAACTGAGTGGGAGTGGGGGGCACAGTAACCTCTGTCCCAGGGGAAGCCATCACCATGTCAGAGAGAGAGAGAGAGAGAGAGAGAGAGAGTGTGCCAGCCGCTCACTGCCGGTTTAGCAGACAGCTCTGAAGCTCCCAATCTGTCAGAGACACAAAAGCCAGCGTGCCTCTACTGGACTACTCCCCAGGAGAGATTAGCATGTTAAAGGACAGGGAGGTTATCTTAGGTCCTCGGTTCCGGGGTTTGTTGCGTAGGCACATCCACAGAGAGACAGAACAGCACCAACAAGAGTCACATTGGAAAAGCAAGCAGCATGTTAAGTTGTCTTTGTGTTGATGCTCTAATAAACCAACCATCACGTTTTCCTCTTATTATTAGCCGTTTATTCTACTTAGGATCGGTTAAGGGAGCACTACGACCTGCAAGCTATTTACATGTTATCTTACAGGACACTCACAATGTCGATTTATTAGTTGGAATTAAGAGAAATAGTTTGATGCATGAATACTCGTTTAAAGCTACAAGTCTTTATGTAGTTTCTCTCCCATGAATTCTTTTAAAATGTTTGCATTGATGAGATTTGGATCACGGGGATATGTTCCGCTGTCACGTGACACACACACACACCTCTGATGTTTATAGAAATCAACACAGACCCTTTAAATACTACTTTGTCAGTCCATATGCAGGAAACATTACACAAACACTCACAAAACAGCGATATCAATTAAATTACATCCACCAAAGAGAGAATACGCACAAAACAAAGTCACTGCTCAACAACCAAACTACACAAGATCCCACACTCAGGAGCACAGACTGACAGTGACACACAACACCAGATACTTGACCCCCAAAAATAAAAGACCACGTCCAAACTAGCTCACTCCCGCACTACTCCAAGAGTCCCGTGACTCCTCTGCCTGATATGCGACCCATGCGTGGAACCAGACAGCTGATGGAAGTGAATGTGAGAGTGGATGAGATGCAGAGTCTGTGGCCATTTCCCCCCGGAACCAATGCTGGTTAGTGGGATCAAACACGTGTCTGCATCCCTGCAGCTGGTGAGTGTTAATGTCTGTGATTGGTTAGTGAGCTGATAGACGGGTGTTTCGATGCTCTTACATTTGTGAGTGGTAAGTGGGAGACCAGGAAGAGAGGAGGGAGTGATTTGGTGTCATTTATGTAGAGTAAATCTCTCCTCTTTGTGAAAGTGAGAGTTAGTGAGCCAATCGCTATAGTGCAGAGCAGGAGGTGCTCAATCATGGAGTCAAAACCTAGACTTCACACTGATGCCTCTCGATTAACAGAAACTAGAGCGGAGAGGGAGGGAACTCAGCATGCAGCCAATAATACCTGGATGTCGTATACGGGTTTGGAAGAAGGAATGGCAGCAAACTGTCGGTAGTCAAACTTCTTTGACGACAGGGACTAGAAGGATAGCAAAAGGGAATGAGCAGAGGTTGAGGGAGAGGTAGAAGAGGAAAACAATGACAGGAGGGGGGGGTAAAATATAAACAGGAGAGGAATCAGAGAAAGGGATGAGGAAATAGAAATAGGAGAGGTAGGAGGCAGAGAGGCTAATGGGTGATTCAAACAGCCAGCTGTGGCAAATGATGGAGAGCTGTGTGTGTTTTCAGCCCTGATTGGCTCAAGTGACAATGAGCAAGATGGTGGATTAATGCCAATGTGTTTTGAAACAAAATCTACTTTTTTTCCCCGTTTCCAGCTTGTAAACCAGCAAGCTTATTCGTTGCCTTTCTCAAAAAAAGCTGCAAAGAGAGTGTTACAGCTTTCTTCTCATAATTGATGATTGCAGCGCTCTAAGTCAAAGGATACAGTGAAGCGTCCACACTGACGCACACAAAGGCCCGTCGCAAAAATCTGTCAAAAACAAAATGGGAATGAAGAAAGAGGAAAAAGGTTCAGCACTCACCAGCCGTCCCGGAGAGGTTACTCCTCGAGGACTGAGCTCTGTCAGAGGGAAACAGGAAGTGTGAAGTTAGAACACAAAGGGAAGGGACAAAACAACACGCTTTAGATTACATTTGCTGGAGAGGAAAATATCCATTTTTAAAAATATCTGAGTAAACAGGGCCTAAATCAATCTGTGGGAATATCCAGGAGCCCACCTAAAAAGCTTTAAAAGGTACTATATTAAGAAATTCAGAAACGGGTGGTGGTGGTTTTCTGTGTAAAAACAATTAAGTACAGGAGATGCTTGTCATCTGAACAGGACTCAGCTTCTTACCTTCCATAGGCGTGGGAGAGGGTGTGGGGGCGGGCGACGGCGACTCCGTCAGCTGGTCCATTGTGCCGCGCTTCTTTCCGTCGCGAGACTTGGCGATGACCATCTGTGCTTTCAGTGCATCTTGCTCGAGAGACTTCATTCTACAAGAGGAACAACCACCATCAGATACGTGATCGTAGAAAATACAGAGACAACGGCTGACAGAGGCGCACACACACCGCTACAGGTGGGTGTCGTGTCAATCACCACTAATGTTGGGTGCTCCTTGTCCTGGTCTGCTGTCACTAACAACCAGTTTAATTTAATTGCACAAAAAGAAGGGAGGCATTCCAGGAAAAGGACGGCCCACTGCTGGTAGGCTTACCCTCAATTTACAGATAGCTTGCAAACTTACTGCGGGATGTTTGTTAGTACAAATAATAGTATGAAAATCAAGAGAACAGCAAGGCACAAATGAAAAGAGTGCTGCAGAGAATAGAGAGAGGGGGAACCAGAGGAAGCAAAGACGTGCAGAAGCAAGACGGCACTGGAAAGGCAGCGGAAGCACTGGCAGTGTTGCTGCGAGTGCTTGCTCGGACCTTTCCGAAACCCGGACTCTAGCAAAATACACCCAACGCCAAAGCACCCCAGCACACCCCCACGATGCCGTGCGTCTGGCCCTGGTGGCAGACCTGAGCTGGGAGGCTGCTGCAGAGGAGGAGGAGGAGGAAGAGGTGGGGGGCTCGGCCTGAGACGCCCTCACTCTGGCCCGGTAGAGCCTCTTAGCCAGGTCCTGCTCATACTGCCTAACATCCTCCTCTAGGCCACAGGGCCTGGGCCCCGCGAGGCCAGGGAGAGGGTGAGGGTGACGCACAGGAGGAGGGGACAGGACGACAAGTGCACCAGGATGAAGGAGGAATGTGAGGAGGAGGCGAGGAAGGATAGAAAGGCATACGGACAGAGAAGAGAAGAAAACCAAAGAATGGAAGGTAAAACACTGACACGTTGAGAAGAATAACATATTTACAGGACATGACAAAAGTAGGAGGAGGCAGACTAACCACACACAGAACAAACTGAACTTGTATTCACTAATTAACATACCATGTATGTGAGCGTGGCGCTTGGTATTTACATTTATTTAAGTGTTATTTCTGTTTCTTCCATCGTGGCAGTAAAGGTTTGTCTCACATGAACAGTCATGTGCAGCTAAAAGAAAACAAACCTTCCCGCTTCCGACTCCCGCTATTTCCAAATGAATGCACAGCGGAAATGTGTAAACCCACTGTGGTGTAATAAAGCTGTGAATTCTAGTTATCAACAAGCAAGGACAAGTGAAGTAAAAGCTTAAAAAGAGACCCCGTCAGCCGTTGTATTTACCGTGCTGCCCTCCACATGGCTCTCTTCTCAGCCTCCAGAGCTCGTTTCTCAGCGGGGGACAGGTCCTTGTCGGGGGCCACAGACAGCTCGGGGCTCTGCATGCGGAGCCTCTCCTGGTGTCGGCGCTCTGCTTTGGCCGTGCGGATGGGAGCCGCCGAGTCTGCGGAGTACGCCGGGATCAGACTGACGAGACACACAAGTGGCAGTGATGACTACAGTGACAAAAACATCAGCGATGGGACAATCAAAGATGCTGCGTACAAATGGAATTACCCGGTCATGGAGTTGGGCCTGTCCTCCAGTGAATTCCTCTGAGACTCTCCCTTACCGTCAACAGACGAAGGCCTGCATACAAAAACAGATATTAGCTGAAGAAATAAAGAAAATGTCTAAAGCATTAATGTTTTGTGATTTCTCACCCCGAGCTGCCGCCGTAGCTCGGTGGCGTGGCGTTGTAGCTCGGCGGCGTGGCGCAGTGCTGCGACGGGCTGTTTACTGGCTCCACGTTGTACTCTACTCCATCCAGCAACACTTTGCCGGTTGCCTTCATCTGCGCCACCTGCTTAGCCAGGTCCTCTTCGTCGTCATCCTCGTCCTCATCCAGCAGGTACTCCCGCGCCCGTTGCTCAAACTTCCTCTCTGAGACGAGATGAACGCACACAGAGGGGTGTAAAACTTCAATGGCAGGTTTGCCGGGTAGCTATTGGCAAAGAGATGCTCGAGGAGAAACGATGGAAACAAACCTTCTTCCTCCCTCATTTTCTTGAGGTCATCTTCTCCAACAAGAGACACACGAGGTTTGGGTTTCTCTGGAGTCTGCTGCTTCACGTCGATCTCAAAGTACTTCTGTCTGTCCCTGAAGGAGCGCTGCTCTGGGCTGGATTTACCACCAGGAGAAGGACTCTGTAGGGTGACAAGAAAAATCAAGGACAGAATACAAAACTATGAACATTATAATTGATAGCACCTGAAGCACCTGCAATATTTACAAATGACTAAAACAGCTGAATAAAATGAGCTATAAAAGAAGTTTCATTGCTATTTGCATTGTTGCAGAGCCATTTCCGAAGGGGCAGAGGATTTCACAAGAGATGCCAGAGGAGAGAAGTATCACAGACCAAGAAGAAAGCAACAAATGATCCATTTAAAACAGAACCCAGCACCACCAGCTGATTTAAGATCAATTAACTGGGAGTCACGGCTGTCTCCCAGTGTCCGGGAACAGAGACACCACCACCGATCAAGCCAAGCACACCCGGACAGAGAACGGGGCTGCTGTAGACGTGGCGGAGGCGGTTGGGTACCTGCAGGTCCCAGGACGGCCTGGAGAAGCGAGGCACTGCTGCCAGGCTCATGTACTCCCGATGGTCAGGCGAGAGGACGGCCCTGCTGGCCAGACCCTTACCAGCCTCCTCCTGACCGTCTACGTCATCATCAAACACCTCGTTGTTCAACTCAGGCTGAAAAGGCCACAAAGGTCGTCACCAGACAGACTACGATGACTCGGTATGCAACTACAGTGAGCTTAGACCACATCTAGACATAATGCTGACATGAAATAACGTATTGACCCAATTATAAGACGGCTTCTTTTCCGACCTCCATTTTAGGAAAAAGACTTTCTGAAGATATAAAATAATGTCAGACTAGTTTTCCGGAGATACAGTGATAGAAGATGCTTCATGAATGAGGACTCTTCTCCTTAAACTGTCTGGATCTCTTCTTCATGACATCAGGCTCTTTAAACTCTTTTTCACTGAATTTATTTCCTCCAGCAAAACATTTTACACAAGCTGTCAGAAAGTCCTGCAGGTTGAAATGGTTTCCTAAAAACCTTTGGAGTAGACTTTAAAACATAAACAAAGAAGTGTGTGTGGTTAGCTCCACATTCAGCACCAATATTGCCTCATACTCGTGTGATTGTGCCCTCTTTTAAACACACAAATCTAGTCCTTAAATATAATACTACCTCCACTTTTTACTGTAAAATATCATGTATATTCTGTCCATTACGGTAAAACAGACCGCTGTGCTTTTAATATTTTTGGGTCAATTTGTTCACTCACCTCTGGAGACGGTTGCTTTGGGTGAAAATTGTTCCTCACACCATACAGGTCCTGTTGGGCACATCAGGATGTTAGTATGTAAAGTCAGACGGAGGACAAAGACGGAGAGACAGAGCAGGCAGACGGATTAGCAGCGGGGACATAATATATATATAAAGAAGTGGGACTGGATATTAGTACACGAGCGACACACGGATGAAGACTCAACACCAGTATGACAGATGATGGCACTGGAGTACAAAAACCCACGATGATCGCATTCCACACGTCACAGCACGTCACAGGCCCCCCCGACACAGCGCAGGCTCCTCATAGGACAGCCTGCTCCAGTCAGGAGGGACGAGGGGGGGGAGACCAACCAATCAGCACAGCATGCTTTTGTAGTTGTGACCCGGTGTGAGTCCGGGCAGCACGGCCTACCTGCGGCGGCTCCAGCACTGCCAGTGAGCGAGGCACGGCGGCAAACGCCTTGTATGCCTGCTTGACATTCATGGGGAACTCGTCGGGCGAGGTGGGGGGGGGGGG